TACTTGCCCGCGTCAACGTTGGTTCAAACCTATGGAGTTTCTTTCTTTTTTTTCCCCCCCTTTTTGGAGCCTTTTTTCTTTTTTTTTTGGGGTGATTAAGTCATGGAGTTCCTTTTTGCTTTGCTTACTGCACTTTTTTTCATCAAAATTCTTCGGACCTTTGGAATTAAAGGACAACATTGATGATTGAACATTTGAACCTGTATTGTTAAACTTTTCGAGCATTCACTTAGTTTTCTTCAAATTTACAATTGATTTGCTTTTCTTTTAAAAATCGAAAATTTTACATTTTAGAACTTTGAAACTACATGGTGTGATTACAATTGCATTTTACTGCCATATATTTAGTTATTTTATTCATAGTTATTAAATTCGATACAACAAAAAACTCGTCAGAGGGACCAAATCAATGAATCACTGATTAAACAAATAGATATTAAAATAATAATTATAAATATAAATTTTTATATACATAATAAAAAAGTAAACAAGTGTGTATAAAAAATATTTAGTTATCAAATAAAAGCTAAGTAAAGTTTCATATACATTTAAATGAAAATTTGATGTACAAATATTATCAAAAGCATACATACACTTTGTTACAAAAATAAAGATTCAAATAGGTCAGACCAAGTTTGACCTAATTAACTCCTTATATGGTCAAATAATAGGGTCAACCCAACTGGATAATCAATTCATCTGACCGAACGATTCAACCACCAACTAATGATAAGTTGAGGGGCACTTTTGGTGTCAAATATTTTTTTCATCCTTGAAATACTTTTTTATTTTTGTTTTTTTTTTAAAATTGAACTAATTTGTTACAAGAAAAATTAATTTAAAAAAAATTAGTGATATTTTTAAAATCTCAAAACAAGATAATGAAACTGTTAAAAACCTCAAATGAGGTTCGAGATTTCTAAAAAAATCCCTTTATTTGCCGTAGGCTAGAATTCGTATCGTCAAACCGGGACCGAGGGAGCTGGAACTTGGTAGTTGTATAGATGGGTCAAAATGCATCCAACATTGAACTCACTTCTATGCTTTTGAATTTGCAATTATGTTGAACCCATTTCTACTAATTTTGTAAAACTCAATCTAACGGTCCATAATTATAACCTTTTACGTACGAGATTTTTCTTGGAATTTCCAACTTAATCTACCATATTTTGTGGCTTAGCAACCGAGTATAAGTTACCACACATTAAAATGAAGCCAAGTTTTTTACCAAATGAACATGAGATTTTAAAGAACCAAACTCAAATCAAGATTGATATTTGTTTGGTTCATCTTTTGACAATTACCAGAACATAATGATTTGCCCTGTTTGATATGCTCAGCGCCAGAAAAATCTACCTACCGGCTTTTATGTGATGGTGAATATCAAGTGCTGTTCATCCTCCGCCAGTCTGCCTCCGTAGTCCGTGTACAGCCCCTCACTATTCTGAGGTTCGCAAAATTATTAGTACCGTAGTATGTCAAGGCCGGGGATTGACCACAAAAAAAAAAAAAAAAAAGTACGTTAAGGCAGCGACAAACGGTTCCCAGAAGTTAGCAGAACACTTATGAGTGGAAACACTACTACTACTTTCGTTGATCAGACTGTGTCCATCGCAAGTTTCAGGGTAAAATGAGGGAGTCGCCCTTATTCATGAGGAAAAAAAGCCATATATGAAGTGATAACAGTAATATAAAAACCAAAGGGCCATGGAGCTACCAGATAGTTTGATTATACCAGGGAGCCACATCAGAAATTTTGTATCTTAAACAAAACGCATCAATAAAGCATAGCAATTAGCATCTTCCAGGTACTTGCTTCAATGTTGTTCCTAATCTCCTTCCATTCAGTTCCAGAAGAAAACCCAAAGACCATGCTACTGAACATTATAATGTAAACTATAGTAGTACTAACTATTAATTCCTGCCAGATGAAATTCGCAAGTAGAGACACAAAAATCCAGTACTCTACCTTCCAACGAGCTAGAAATCCCCAACAATTTATGGTTATTGGAACAATCCGAGTACAGTAAACATTTGGAATCGCATCACATACAATTGTAAAAGATAACACGAACAAAGTTGTCTTACAGTTACACAGTTCAATCAGAGTCATTTTTCTTATTTGTCCTGTCAATAAATTAGAATGAAATCGTGATCGTTGCTTTTATGCGAACAACAAACTCTAAAACAAACAAGATTACAGTTAAACTTACTGGGGAAAATTGTGAAGGTATGCCATCATAAAAGCTTCTCTGTCAACCTGATCATGAATGAATTCACAGCAATTGAATCCAAAACTATCCAAGATGATTCAAATAGTTCGTGAAAGTACTCAGCTCCTGTCTCCTCAGCCGCACTTCTAAATGCAATCCCAAATGCATTTCCCTGAACTGCACCGAGTCGCGGCTTCCCGCAAACCCCCACCATTAATACTTTATCCCGTTCTTGAGTATAACAAACACAGACTAACGGCTTCATCCTTGCTCCCTTTTCCCGTAAGGCATCCATCAGAAAATAACCAAATTTAGTTAAAGCCTGAGGGCGACATAACACCTTTGTATCTGCTGAATCTTCAAGCTTCACCCACCGAAATTTACTCCCACTTCTTATTGATCCTTTCTTGGTTATGGCTGAGCTACCTTGTCTAAGAATCGACCTTTGCACTGAGATAGCATGTTTCATCCCAATTTCGAGCTTATCAAGCTTGTTCAAGGACAATGCATCATAAGCAACCCCAAACTGTTTTGAAGCAGAGGAGCCATCGGATTCTACGGATGACTCTAACAGGGCGGTAACTCCATGCACTACATCTGCTGCAGAGACCCTTGAACTGTATCCGTGCAATAGTAAGAATCCTCTAAAATAAAAATCCGTGAGACCAAACTCTGGAAGATACTGCTCAAACATGTCCTTCATCCTTCTCTTGATCTCAACACTCATATACTGAAACTTTTGTTTGCACTCTTCCCGGGCAAACCCCATCCGAGCTAAAAGAAGCTGCATCTTCTTTATGCCATTGTCACTCCAAGTCTTTAACTTAGTTGCAATGTAAGATGAACACAACATCGAATCAAACAAGTTCCATTCTTGTAAGAGCATCAGCCTTGGCTCATCCTCGTATGAGATTCTTGAAGTGTCAGGTGCAGTGACCTTTGTTCCATCTTTGAGAGTAACTGAAGTAATAGTGTCCAAATTGCCTGAGCTATTAATATGCTGCTCAAGCTCCATTACCCCAGCGTGGTATCTCTCTTCTGTTAATCTCTCGTGAACAAACTGGTCAGTTAAAGCCACACAAGCCAACCAAAGCAACTCATTTGTGTTTTTCCTGAGAGAATGAGACAGTTCATACATCAAACAGCCAGATGGCTTCCCATGAAAGGTACCCATAAAGTAGTACTCTTTCTTCAACTTTCTGAAAAGCTTAACTGGGTCATTCTCACTTTCTTGAGAAACCTTCCTCCTCTTTCGAGTCCCTTGACTCTCACCACCATCTTCCTCCTCACCCTCACTGTCATTCTCATCCTCACTATCCGAATCGTCCTCAATCTCATCATCACTATTCAAATCACCGGCGTTAGCCAGCTCTGAAATGTCAAAATCATAAGCCAAATCAGCCTGGTGCTCATCATCCTTGGTGTAAAGCACCACAACACGATCATTCCTGTCGCTCAAATTATGCAAGTGGATGGGCCTGTGGCTATCCACCACAAAAACACAAGCCGAAGGACCAATTTGTAATACCCTCCTAAGATCTCTATGACAACCCCAATTAACTAACAAAATTGTAATGGGTTCCTCAGACAAGGCACACAAATTAGGTCCCGCATATTTATGAATTTCCTTAAAACTGGAAACTGGATAACAAGCATATCTAACGGAATCAGATTCAAGAACATGGCCAATTATCTTTAAAGCACAAAGCGAATCCACATCAGAAGTTGAAGGGAAAATTAGCAAAGGAGTGGACGAAGCTGAAGCTAAAGCCGATTTGCGCAACCGCAAGTAAAATGATTCTATACTTAGCTCTCTCACCATAATTCCTTAACTGAGCTATGCAAAAATAAGGAAAATCTAATCTTTTTCCAGTAAAAAACAATTCTGAGCTCATTACAGAATTATGTTCCGCATGGGCATTTATACAAGCACTTGGATGGGACCTTTAAATCTTATACAAATAGAAAATGAGAACTATTTGTGAACCCAATTTGCGGATCTATGGGAGAGGAAAGGAGAGATCGAAGTCAGATTCAGGGTTTTGTAGAAATACCTCGAAGGGGAGAATTAAGTTGAACCCGGAAGAGGATTGAAGCTGGAAGATCAATTATATGAGCTCACAGCACTTAAATTGTTGTCGTTCCGTTGAGATTTGTAATCTGAGGAGAAGAAAGTGATTTTGAGGAAAAGAGGATTTGAGCTTTGAATAATGAATACTTCTGCGTTTGAGTTTAGAAATTTGAAATTTTCAACGACCGCCAAATTTTGGCGGGTGAATCATTCGGCCTGAAACGGATCCATATTGATCTGACGAAATTAGCCTCCGTTTGAATAAGTATTTGAAGCCTGGCTCGCTTTATCAGGTCACGTCCCTGCAATTTGTAAATTGTAATCCGCAACCTTTAACTTATTTTGGTTTTGCACTTGCGTCCTCCTTTTCTTTTTCAAATTTAGCTGGGAGGTCAGTGGAAATTGTTTAAGCACACTGGAGTTACCTGTAAATCAATTGATCTTTTTGACATCGAATTGTAGGATGATACACCGCGATTTTCATTTTGGGCCAAAAATTATTAACTTGCATCATAAACACAATTTCGAAATATTTTTTTATCTTTTCAATTACATTTTTTTATTTCATATATACATTACATAAAAAAAAATGTTACAGTAATTATTTCAAATAATCCCCTATCAAAAAAGACATCAGTATGTGTGTCTTATACTAGACACTCATGCAGGAGGCCCAAGGTTTTATACTAGACAACAAAGAGTATTTGGGAGAAGAATTAGGAGGACAAATCCAATGAAGGCCTTTTTTAAATTGAAATGAAAAGCCTGGTATAACAATCCATGGACACAGGACAGCTTCCATAGCTTGGAATTGCTATCCTGCAATATGCATGGGGTCTTGCGGCTGTGCCAGTATATACTATACTTGCGATTTTAACCTTGTCCTGGTTCATACATTATTGTCTGTTACAGTTAGAAAGGCTAATTTAAGAGTGCAACAAATCTCTAACTATCTTGCCCCTCCTGATTTGTGTTTGTGGAATTGGCTTGAACATTGGCTCTTGCGCAACAACCAGCAAAAATGGAACTAAAGGCAACATCCTTTTTTAATTAAAGAATCTGCCACTTTTCAATAATTTTGTATTTCAGAAAAAATGTAACCAGAAATTGGTAGCTACATCGTACAACACTAGTTAAGATTTGGCACAAAAACACTAGTGACCAGTTCCAGGACAAAAGAAGACCCGAAACCTTAAATTTATTGTCCCAACCAACAAGACAAATTGAGAGGGGGGGAAAATGCACCAAAACTCCTTCAGGGCTATTTACAGGTCCATCAAATGGGATGAATAGACACCAGAAGGTAAAAATTCCTCATTTTCCAAACCATGGAAAGCAGCATCCCTGCAGAGAAGAGCAAACAGACACGAACGCTTTGTCATGCACTGATATGAAACCAAGGATCATAAGAGGCCACAGTTAAAACGACAGTTGAAACTTGAAAAAGGCATAGGAAATATGAGAAGGGCCCTAGGTTGAAAAAATCACTGGGTCGATGGTTCTTGAATCGATTGCACAGCATACCTTACGATCGCCACTGGCATTTTGCTTCCGCTTCATGTGGTAGGATGGCTCGAAATTATTGCCTGCTTGGAGATTTGAGGGGCCGGTATGCCTTTCCTCGCGCACCTTGTTGAAAATATGAGTGTAATTATCAGCTGATTGAGGATTGTTCTCGTCCCAGTCACCAAATCTTGGAACAGCAGCACCTCTATCAGGCTGCATTTTACATGAAGGAAGATGATCAGCAACCAGATCAAGAACAGAAACCACAAACACAACAAAGCACTAAAAAAAAAAGAGAATCTTTTGGAAAGGATAAACATGTCCAGCGTGCGTTGAAGTTCTAAAAACAAAGTCAGATCCCTGCCCTGCAGTCTGAAATCATTGATCCATGGAAGTTTGAAGATTAGATTAGAAAAATATAAACCACAACTTACACTTTCCTCCACTCGACTAACTTGCTTCATACGGGACTTCCCATATGTCCCATGGCTGCTGTCATGCGAGCTCTTTCCATCCCAAGCAGGAGATGTGCCACCTCTCCCTGCTAACTTTGCCGGGTGATGTGAATGTAGTGGCGACCGCTCGAAGCTGTGCTCAGACCCTGCACTCTGTCTGGTTGGCCGACCAGAATTGTGATGAGTTGACTCACCGGAGGTCCTGCGGCCTGGATTATCAGTACGTGCAGGAGAATCCACAAATTGCCTGAAATTACCATCTTCCCTACTTCCACGATACTCGTGCTGTGCCCTTACAGCTCCCCGTCCCACTGGTTCCTCCGTTTGAGGTCTAATATTAGAGGGTGCTGGAGATGGGGGAGCAAACTGGCGAAACATTTCTGGATTTTCCTCGGGGTCGTTGGGATTTATCATCTTTCCACCTCTACCTTTCCTTGCATTATCGAAGTACCGTGTGTAGGGAACATTTTCTTGGCTGTCCCAGTTGCCAAATTGAGGTACATGGGGGCGCTGAAAAGTGACAATTACAAACACGCGATTGTTATTTACTCAAATATGTATGGCTTCACAAAAGTTTCCAATTAGTTGTAGCAACTATTCTATGATTCTCATCAGTTGAATCTAATTCAGGGTTCGCAACTCCTCCAGTTTTTAAGAACTCAGCAATTCCAGGCCATGGTTGTTTTTAGCAGTAGTAACACATACCGTGAAAGCCCATAAGAGTGATCAATAAAGACACATATTTCTCTATACCTGGGGCACTTTGATAGTTTGTCCCCAGTAGAAAACTATAGAAATCAACATTCTCCCATAATATTCCAGAATTTCCTTCTTCCTGTTTTCCTTACTAGTGCCTCGCAGTCTCTTACTGGAATTGCAACAATCTGACTACCCAACCAAATTAGCCATATCATTGCGGGCGTAAAATAGAAGACACAAAAGCACGTGCAATGCAAACCCCACATTTTATCTTTAAAGAGCTAATTAGCTATCTTAACCCCATCACCAATCAGAAATGCAGGAACAACAAACATAAAAGCCACCGCCTAATTCATCCAGAACAAAAGTCAACTCTATTTTGTCTTCGTACTTTAACAACTGGAAGACAACTGCAGGACACAAATCACCCAAGACATGGATCTCTTTGGGGGGGAGATGGAAAGAGAAAAGGCAAAAAAATTGTCAAGAAACCACGAGGGATTCAAAAGAAATAATACTTACAGCGTATGGGAGAGAAAAAAAAGAACAATTGAGTTGGGCCATGACAGATTTTAATCCCAATAACAGCGTGGTAGCAGCCATTGGAATATAAACACATAAAGTAAATAACTTTCATATATAACAATCCATTTATAGCATAAAAAATCACAAGAGTGGTGTGAAAAAAGTAAGAACAGGTTATGAAAAAAAAAAAAAAAGGACGAGATAGAACTTACTGCTGCCATTTCGATGTTGATTAAAAGCCAAGAAATGGCAGTAGAGGATAGCTCTTTTCAGCAAAGAAGCAAATATGATAGAGAACAGCAAATCAAGCCTTCTCTTCCCCAGGGAAAAAATGAGAAAGCTCTTCAACTACCCAAGAAACCAACGGAGAGAGAGAGAGAGAGAGAGAGAGAGAGAGAGATGGGGCAATTAAAGATTTAAAGAGGATTTGTAGCAGTAAGGGAGGAGAGAAGAGAGAAAGGTACATCAACCATTGACGCACGCCACCGATAAAAGTTTTGACCATTCCCATTCTTCTTACCAAGTCTTCCCTCGTCTCGTTTACGAAGTCTTCTTCACCGTGTCAGAGAACGAGTTACCACGGAGTGGGAGGAGTACGAGGACTAGACCAGATTTAAAGTTAAAACAACATATAGTAGTAAAACAAATTTAGCAAGTCAAAATCAACTACTAGTCCGAGTATTCAACTTCGGCCCCTCCTCTCCTCTGACCATGAAAGCGAATACTGCTACTAGTCTACTACTACCACTTCAGTCCAGTTTTTTTCATTTTTGCTGGTCTGTCTTTGGGGTTCAACAATTCACACCAGTACGTACAGTACGGTACAACTGGGCAGCTAGCTAGCGTGCTTGCTTGGCCCTTAGTTAGCTTTGATCGGCTGATGACTGGTCTTCTTCTGCTCATCAGCTTTGATCAGCTGAGAAAAATGGTCGATTCACTCTGTATAGGTTACTAGTAGTAAGTACCGTCCGATGACCATGGAAGACCGAAGTTGCACCGCATAAGCCTCTGAATCGTTGTCTGTCATTCTTCTTCCCTACTTGATTTGGAAGTAGGCTGAGACTCATTTTACTAAGAAGTTAAATCATTTTGAAATCCAAATCATGAATAAAGAATTATACAGTTAACTGTCTGTCATCTTCCACGAACTGGAAACTTGAGCTCGAGTGCATAAACCAAGATGATGATTCTCCTCTTATTACCAAAAAAGAAAAAAAAAAAAAAAGGCCTTAATATCTCAATCTGGAATAATTAATTGATTTCATCAAGAATGAATATAGAAGCAGTCATATTAAATATAAATATGCTACGCACCCGTAATTGCTTACGTAATGAGAAGCGGGTGCAAGCTCTGGACGATCACCTTATGCACGAACTTTTCATGGTCCCACAGCCCCATGTAATAATCCACGTCACCACGCGTAAGAGTGTTCTTTTTTTTTTTTTTTTTTGTGACACAGGGGTGTCCGGGTCAATCCTTACGGGGCCCGACTAATCCCCTGCTGCCCGAGTTCGGCGCCCCAACCCGACCAAAGCAAGATAAGTGCACAGGCATCCCCATAGCGCATTTTCGAACCCGGAACCTGAATGTCCCAAGGGAACGCTGCTACCATGTGGCTAAACCCGTGGGGGCGCGTAAGAGTGTTCCATTTACACATTATTTACAACTGATTTACATATACACTGATTTGTTTGAATCATCGATACGTTTTTCAGCCACATTTTTATTTTACATAAATTACATTAAAAAAATGTTACAGTATTTTTTAAAAAAAATTATTTCAAATAATCTGCTATCCAAACACACTTTCTGAGAGTTTCTTGTTACTTCACAACAAAAAAAACTCTCGATTTTTATGTATTTATTTATTTATCATTTTATAATGCTCTCTTGGGCAAGATTTGCGAGGCCATGTTAACATCATAGTCTTCCGTGACTGTCAAATAAACAAAATAAATGCAACTTAATGCGGAGAATTCTGTGGTGGTGATGGCAAAGAATAAGAAAAGGGCGAGTTGATGGTTGGTAGCACAGTTAATGGTTTGAAAAGAAAAGAAAAATACATCCGGATTCATTCAACCTGAAATCCTTTTTTTGTAAACTTGCACCTCATTGCCCCCCCCCCCCCCAACCAACAAAATTAAATTGCTCTTCGTCTTCGGTGGGTTGATTGAATTCCAACTGGTATTTTAAAACATCAATTCCTCATTGAACTCAAATAGTTGTCAACGAAGACCTTAGCGCAAGAGGTCAAGAAGAAGAAGAAGAAGGACAAGAGAAGAAGAAGAAGTAAAGGAGCAGAGAATCTTCAGACTACTGAAATACATTAATCTGCTGTCGGCAAGCCATCCATACATATGACAAAATGCAACAGCAATTACAGCTGGCATTTACTCTTTGTCCTCCTCCTACTAATGTTATGTTGCCCAACTGCCTCTTGCATTGTACTATTTTTCAAGCATCAGTTAGAGCAGCACTTTTTGATGCAAGATTTTTTCTGGATTCTAATTAATGTGTTTGGATTGCAATTTTCTAAAGAAAAAATTGTTACATTTGCCCGTTGACACATTTTTTTAATCACCTTTTTATTTCATTTATACCAAATCGTTGCAGTAATTTTTTTATAAAATACTTAGAAAAATGCAATCCAAACATAGTCTTATTCTTTTTCCGATGGAAAATTGCAGTGTCAAAATGTTTAACATTTGGATCTATATAGAGACGCACACATATCTTTGAAATCAAAACAAGAGAAACGCTACAGGGAAATATCACAATTTCCGTGCACCATAAGATTGATACTAGAAGAGGATTTTCCTTTTTTTTTTTTTTGGGTGATGAAACTTGAAGAATTTATACTAACAGTTTTGGTCAGATTATATGTCAAACTTTGGGAAACTAATGCAAACGTTGTCATTGTTTAAGTTGGAATTTGTCATTTTCATGCAAATAGCCTGTTTAGACTTGGGTAGAGACTCCCTCGGGCTCGGCCCAGCCCACATAGAAAGTTAAGATGTCCTTGTCTTCCGAGTGGAGTTCGAGCGCAGAAGTCGTACTGGATTGCCGTTGGCTTCGAGGCCCAGTGAAAATGTGGGCCTGACTTTGGACTCTTCCTTCCTGTAGAAATCCGGCCTACGTGATTGATCATTGTTATTGTTTCAAAGACTCTCAATTTTGCTTCCTTAACGAGCCACAATGGTACCAACACTCCCCTATCCTTGGCTAACGACGCAAAGTTGGGGGTGTTGGTTAAGTAATGATTGGCGTGAGGAAAATTCTGGTGTTGATGCCTTGGCCAAAGTGAAGTTTGAGCTTACAATTGGGTACCGCGCTTCTTCCAGATTTTGTTAAACTTTTGTTAGCGACAGACACTAATGGCGTTTCTCACTGGCAACTTGTGACTTGTGAGTGTATAGTCGCCCTAGGCAAAAAAAAAAAAAAAAAAAAATCAAAGAATACAAATAAACCATGTACAAGTAAAGGGAAATAACTCACCTCTCACTAGGGGTGGCAATTTTCGACACGACCTGAAAACACGACACGAATCTAACACGAAATTAATGGGTTTGGGTTGAGGTTTTGGGAATTCGGGTCAGAATCGGGTTGGACCCGATGAACCCGAAAAGAAAACAGGTCGATTTCGGGTCAACCCGTGGTGACCTGATATGACCCGATATGACCCGTTTACGAATTAAAAATAATTTAATAAATATAAAAATAATTTTATCTAACTAACCTAAGTTATTCTTTTTTTCAAAGGCATTAATTACTTAATCATAAATGAATTTATTTAATTTGTGTGAAGTTGAAATTATTATATTTGGACAAATAATATATTATATTATATTTTACTTTTATACTGTTTTAATTTATTTTATATTTTGTTTGGGATAAAACAATTTTACGGTGTTTAATTTATTTTAGATTTGGTTTGGAATTACTTATTTAAATTTTTATTACTTGATTATGTAATTAGTTTTGTGAGAAATTAATTTTATTAGAAATTACAGTGATAAATTAATAAATTAAAATTAAGTTTCGGGTCGACCCGCCAACCCGTCAACCTGAAATTTTCGGGTTCGGGTCAGCATACCTGACCCGTCACGGGTTGGCGGGTCGGGTTCGGGTCAACAGATTTTCTGGCGGGTTGACCCGAACCCGACCCGCCAACCTGATTTGGACCCGAATTGCCACCCCTACCTCTCACCATTAGCAGATTCTTTTTCTCGAGGTTATTCCCACAATTTAAATTAAACTACAGTCATGGCCTTCTATTACATTTGATTTTAAAAGTGAATGGCAAAAAGAGTTATTAAACTATTCAAAATAACACGAGTTGATTATCCCAATTTCTTTTTTTTTTGGGGCAAAAAGTGTCACTCGATTCTCCGAAACTAAGGCTTTTGGATAACTTTCTATTAAATTAACCGAAATTGCAATTTTTCAAGGACAAAAATGTACTCCCCCGTCCCACTTTGATAGTTCTGTTTCTTTTTCACACAGTTTAAGAAAAAGTTGTTAATTTTGTTGGAAAAGTAAATTTAAATTGCTATTTTCCTAAAATACCCTCACATTAAATAGAGTACAACTTTATGGGAACTTGAATTGATGGTAAAAAAAGAATCAATTCTCATTAAATGGGGTAGGTTTATAGTAACAACAACTTACATTGAATAAGGGCATTTTAGGAAAATTAAAATACAACTGCATTCTTCAATTGGAAAGTGGACTACAATTTAGGACAGACGAAAAAGAAAAACAGGACTATCAAAGTGGGACGGATGGAGTATAAATAATATTACCTCGTTTTCCTCCCCATTCCAGGCGTAGCAACATCCTCTGTCGCCTTCCTGCCACCTCTTCCTCCTCCACCACCTCTACTGCCACTTCCTTCTCTCTTTCTCTATTCAGTATTCACCACTCGTCACCAACTTCTCCCATTTTCCCCATTTTTACCCTTGAAAACCTACAAATAGTAGGTCAATTTTTTTTTTTTCTAATTGGTTTACCCACTAAATTGGTCAAAATGATTCTAAAGCTCGCTTTAGGGAGTTGAGTAACTTTTTCGGCCAAAAAAAAAAAATGTTAGGTGACTAGTTCATGCCAGTTTGAATAATTTAGTGACCATTTTAGCTATTTACTATAATTTTAATCTTTGCATTGATTCTTCATGGAGCTACCATTTATAAGTTCTAGCTTTCATAACTGATCTTGATATATGCACTAGGGAGGGACAGCCCGCGTGACGCGCGGGAATTTGGTGCTTGTGATTCAAGGTAATTAATAATTATTATTTAATATTTTGTAGTATAGGAACTGAAGTATGATGATTTTATCATGTGATTTTAATAGAAAAATCATAAGTTACATAGTGAGTCAATAAAAATAATGTGCAATGAGACATCCTTATCGTTATACTATATAAGAATCCGTTGTGATCAAAGGTTATGTTTGAATTTCAACTGCAAAGATAAGGGTAGTTTGAAAATGTAAGAATGTTTGAAGTGCAATTGAAAAGTATCCAAAGGTCTCTTCTAAAACTTATTCAAGATGATAAAACATTTTAAAGTATCAATTGGGCCCTTCATCTCTCGAATCTATATATGTTCGTGAAAAATCCCTCAAGCAATACTTCTGATTTCTCCCTTGACTTAAGCTCAACCTGAATTATCAAGTCAAGTTTATTAATCAATCACTTTGCGTCCAATCTAATCTAAAATAATTTTATTTTTGACTAACTATTTATATAATTTGGTGGGTATAATACGACTTAATCACATGTTTCTTACAGAGATAATAATGCCAAAAAATAATAGATAGATAAGAAACTTAAGTGGTCTTTTTCAAAGTTTTGTAGAAACTATTCAGATTTGGTGTTTTTTGCTAGGGGCATTTCTTTATAATCTCATAAATAAGTTCAAATCTGCATAATTGTTAAAGATCTGAATTGAAACTATCTTGATTATAAAAAATTGGTGCAAATAATATTTTCTAAATTTGAAATTGTAGAAAATGGTAACTAAAATCAAAAGAAATTCCTCATATGAATTCAAATTGCAAACTATAGGTAGAAACTGCTTAATGATATTTTTCAATGTTTACTTGTATAAGTATTCAATATAACATCTCTACTTAATT